TTCCAGGAAGGTCCTGGACAATTTGGTGCTGATTATGAGGGAAAAATAGAGAAAGTGTCGCTGCAGCTGTTGAAAACCTTCCTCTGTTTTACTGTACGACTTTTTCTTAATTGCTGCTTTTATTTTTATAATTTTACTGTTTTTATGGGTTCTGATTTTATGGTTTTGTCCTTCCTGTTCTTACTGTAAAGCCGTTTGTAACTGTGTGTTTTGAACGGTTCTATACAAATAAAGTTATTTTCATAGTGGAGTTTAATAGACATCACATAAAGCCAAATATTATATAAAATCTGATTATATGATGGATAATGTCAGTGAAAACTAGTCAGAGTTTCTAGACAGACCAACAAAAACTCCTGATCAGGTAGAAAATGAAAACACTGAGTCTCTTAATTTTACAGCTGCGGTTGCAGAAATCTGTTTGTGAGGAAAACTGCTGAGTGGCTGGATGTTTTACACTTTATCATCCGTTTATCAGTTTAAAACGAAGGGATTAGCAGCTAAAAACGCAGCTGCAGAAGGTAAAAGAAGAATTACTGGAGCTGATCTTTGATGTCGAGTCGTCAGCAATCACCACAAAGAATTATTTCTTTTGTCCACAAAACTAATAAAGGTTTATGACAGCCAGTGTTTGCTGAACAGTGCAACAGCCCCACGAAGTAAACAACAACATCCAAACTAAAACAAAACACCCACTAAATTCAGTACAAAGAATGAAAGACAAAGAAATTCAGACAAAAATAAGAAAAGAACAAAAAATTAAATGCAAAATTAAAAAATAATAAGGAACCTAAAACAAATCAAACAGGAACTTGAAGCTGTTTCTTAGCTCTCTGTTTTGTTTTTGCTTAATGTTAATTTTTATGTTGTTGCAGTTTACCTTTTACTTTTTTTTTTTGCATTTTCATGAACAGATTTCACCCTGCAGCGTCTGAACAGCTTCTGATGACAGAAAATGTCAAACACAAGGTGAGAACAGGAAGAAGAGGAGGAGGAGGAAGAGGAGGAAGAGGAAGAGGAGGAGGAGTGTTGGATAAGTGGGGGGTCGAGCAAACTCAGATCATTAGAGAAGGAGAGATTTTCCCTGCACTCCTCCTCCTCCTCCTCCTCCTCCTCCTCTTCATCCCTCCGTCCTCCTCCCTGAGTCCAATCAGAAAACAGAGCGTGTAATTACAGCTTCCATGAAGGACGGCAGGGAGCAGCCTCGGGGGATTCACTCAGACTGTGTGTTATTTCAGCCACTCCAACGTTTATCACCAACAAACTCTGGAAACGCAAACTGCAGCGCTGCAAGGTGAACGTGTACGTGTGGGTGTGTGTTAAACGCTGACATTTACACTTCAGCGCTGGGACCTGGGTGTGTTGATTCAAGCACGATAGAGACAAAAAGAGAAAATTTAAAGCAGGAGAGGCAAGAAATCATCAGGAGACGGTTAATTCACACATAATTACTGTAAAATATGGCAAGAATTGTCTTTATACTGTAGCTATTTGGGTTCTACTGTATACTCCTGGTCCTGTTTACCAGCTCAGAAGTTGAATTAAGTTTATTTTGTGCTGGTCAGAGCTTTAAAACATCAACATTTCAATTCAGAAACATTTTTCCTGTAGACAGTCCTCAGCCAACACTTTCACTCTGACTATTCCTTTGGCAGAACCAGGTGAATAACAAAAAGCAGAAAATGGGAGAAAGAGGGAGAAATCAATCAATACAGGATAAAAGACAGAGAAAGGTGGAAAGCTCAGAGATGTCAGAGGGGAGCTGAGCAAACACGAAACAGCAAAATGGAGAGATGATGATGGAGAAAGAGTAAAACCGCGGCGGCTGTAAAGCAGAATGTGAAAAAACCAGAATGAAAGAGGCTTCAGCGCCCATCAAACTGCAGCCCGATGCCATGACTCAGCTGAACTGAGCTTATCTGGATCTACAGCAGCGCAGCAGAGACTTTTAACTACTCAGAACAAACGCATCGACACAGTTCTGGGAAAATGTGTGTCCAGAACTATTCCTACACCAGACTTTGGCTGTAAAGAGGTTAGAGACGGTCGACCAGGAGTCATCGAGCAGTCACAAAAGAGGACATTTACTGATAGGGTGTTGGGCAAGGTGGGTGGTCCGATGGGCAAGAGGTTTACTAAATAAACCCAATGGTCCCACTGGTGTCTGACCACATCCCAACACCAAATCCATCAGCCCTCAGAGAAGGCCATCCTTCGCTTATAGATGGAGGTGGTAGAGAATACAGGGTCATCGTCTTCATAGACCATGAAACCCATCTCACACGGGCAGTCAACAGGATGACCATCACCAATGTGGACCTCAGTGAGGCGGCCACAGACTAGTGCACCTTGGGAAACCCAATGGGAAGAGCAGTGGAGGGTGAAGGAGATCCAACACCAAAGGGATGATAAGCTGTTATGATTCAGAGATGAAACCCACTTGGGGTTTGTTCATGCTATCAGATTTCATGGTGTCATTATGTGTATTCATGGTTGTCTGCATCACGTTTGTTTTACAGCCCAGGCCGACACCCCACTGTACTGTGTGGGGTCTGATTATACACAGTGAAGAACAGTTTCCTGTTGTATCATTAATATTTGTGTAGCAGCTCATCATCACTCAGGTGTTATTGGAGGATCTCATTAGGACAACCTACTGGTAAACACAACTGGCCTGTACAATGATTCTAGTCAAGTGCCCAAACAACATAAGTGTTCACCATGTAAAGCACACAGCCGCAAAAGACTTTCTTCCAAACACAAGTATTTGAAAATGAGGTGCGTTCTGTTAGTCCAGTATGTAGTTCTCTTTAATACACCGCTGAACTGCACCCTCTACTGGTGATCATAATGATGACAGTACGGAGGAGGTCGGGGTGGATGGATGGGTCGACAAAACATTGGGCTTCCCTCTGATTTGTTTATTAATGTAACCATGACAACAAGCATCCTCTAACCTTAACAAAGTAACAAACCAGGATTTCTGCTAAACCTGACCAAACCTTTACCACATCACTGTCTCTTCATCACTGATTCCCTCATGTGAGGTGAAACTCAGAGAGGAGGGTAAAAACTGCTTACCTACTTGGTTAGGTAGGACGGCTCAGAACCAGCTCGCCAGGAATGTATGTGTCCTCAACTCGGAATAACATAGTCTGTGCATTTAAATTGCATTTAAACCGACCAGAATGATGTCCTGGAGGCTTGAAATCGGAGCAGTCCATGCACTTTGGACTGAGGTAGTAAGCTATAGGTACCAGCTCTGCAGCCAGATGTTTGCTTCTGGGATGGCAGCTGTTGAAAACACACCACTTGTGCTCCAGTACATCCAACCGTAATGCAGACATTATTTGGGTTTAATAAAACAACAGCATCTGAACCACATCTCTGCTGCTGAAAACACATTTTGCTGAGACTGAAGAGCCAACGTCCTCTGTGGATGCTGTATACAATACTACAGGACACAGCATCGAGCAAATATGATAGGAAACCATGAGCTGGGCTATTCAGCTGTCACACTTATCTAAATTGCTTTATTAATTTGAATGCTTGTCAGCTAATTAAAATGAAAATGGCTCAGGAGTGTCAGACAGTGTTCACACCTGCACTCACGCTGCCATTTGCTGCACAGAAAATCACAAACCAGGATAAAGGATGTGAATTAAATTTCCCTGCTATGATTATGACAACAGGGCAAACCTTGATGCATATTAACTGAGTGGCTTTGTGTTGTTTATGACATGACACCACAAGCCAGAATAAACTAAAAATATCCATTCAGCTACGAAGAGATCACCTTTCTGTGGGTCAGCTGTGGATGTTTGGCCTACAACACCAAAACGCCCACTTATGTCTGACACCACAGACCGTCACCTAACAGAGACAGATGTTACCATACACAGCTGCCTTTAACATGTCTTGACTGGCTTTAATATGAACACATGGACGGTCAGAAAGAAGAGCAGAAGCAGATCAATCTGCTGATTTTATCTTGATCTTCCACCTTTATGCATATTCAGTCAGTTCTGTGTGGACACACTGCCACACCCGACACCAAAGTGGATCTATCACGAGGATGGAGAGAGAATCAATGAGCAGAAAATCACATGAAAGCCAATTAAAAAGACTTTGATGAGGAGTTAGCAAGTCATTAATCAGCAGGGTAGAAAGTTTCAAACTCATGTGAATAACTTCCAGAACCTCAGACGAGCAGAACAATCCAAAGGGCTCCAAACCCTTTTTGTTCAACATGTCTTGTGTGAGCTGAAGACAGTCATAAGGACAGGAACACTTTAAAGAGATGCAGGTAATAATGTGACTGTAATATATGAGGCAGCCTCAGAGGGAGAACGTGGTCGGCTTATTTTACAGCCAACATAAATGTTAACATTCCTTCACTTTATGGTTGAATCTTCTGCCGTATTGACTACACTCGGATTACATCTTTATCTGCCCCATGAGCACATTTCTTCTTCGGTTTACCATCTTTTCTGTTCCTCTGAGCGCTCCAACACTCTTCCATCTGAAGCTTGTTTGAACCTGATGAAGTGACATTATTGGTTTGGATCTGTTTAGAAAGATGTAAAAATGTTTACTCACAGTTCCTTCCAATCCATTATCTGCTCAAACTTCTTCGCCTTGAAGCTGAACCGTGTCCAAATTTGTTCTGGTCCATTGCAAAGAACCGCACTTATTCCAACAAGAAGAAGTCGGGAATACCAGCTTTAAAGGTCGTGAACCTGCTGAATATCACCGAGGCTGAGCAGCGATGGAAGCTGTGTTCAACGGTGAAACATGGCAGTGAGAAAAATCAGCACGTGGAGCCGGAGGGTGATTCAGAAAACGGAACTTTTTAAGTTAGAGCTGAAACTGTATCCAGAAAATAGAGTTTTTAAAGAGGTTTAGAGCAGCTCTTCCATCCAAAACCGCAAACAAGCATCCAAAAGTATCTGGTCAGAATCCATGAATAACCAATGAATGGTTAACTGGTCCAATAGACGTATTCATAATGATCAGTCTCAGTCCAAATATCGTTACCATCGTGAATCACGTGAATCAAACTTTCACTGTATCAGTAGTTTATCTGGATGTGTCCTGTTGTCTGAAACTCTCTTTTCAAATTCTTTCTGAGGGTTTTCCAAATCTTCTTCTGGCTCTGCCCACAAGCATCCAACGGCATGAATGTGTCCTTGATTAGCGTTGTTCCCACTAAACTATTCAGGGACTTTCTTTAAGATATGAACAAGTACAACAGGTGTCAGTCTGTAAAATACTGGTACATTTGGCCTGTTTCCAAGTCTAAGATAGTTTCATGTAGCCCAACAAACATCCAGAGATTTAAATGTATCTGATCCATTCATTCATTCGTCTTTAAATGATCTGCTCCTCCATCAGCTGAGGAAGTCTAAGATAAGAGTCGCTCTCACCAAACTCTTCAGGACAAATAATCCATAAAGGCAGTTGGTGTATATAATTTACAACATCAGCATATCTTTAAAATATCAGTAAACTGGTCGTCAATCCATCAGTAAAGCAGTTCTCACTAAGTATTCCAAAACTGCTTTTGTCAAAATTGATCATTTTACTTCAACTCTGCGGCAGCATCATGGGTTATTGGTCATTTCTGTCTAATACTATAATAGAATATTAGGGTTTTCCATGATTTTATTTTGTCCCATTCAGAACAAAAAGCCTCAAAATATCAGCAACTCATTTCATCATCAGGTTGTCAAGGGTCTTCGTCTTTAACATTCTTGCTTCGTTGACTAAAACTACTCACATCACTGTGACTTTCAGGCCATTGGTTGTCCCGGCTGTATCGTCTTTTGAGAGTAATTCATGACAAATGCCTTCGATCTCCTCCCACGTTTCTCTTCTCTCTTTTTACTCCATTCATCACTCAGAAACACGTCCATCAGTCCAGATTTTCGTTAAACTAACCTCCCATCCATCAGTTAATTCAGAGTGACTTTTGGTGATTAGAGTCACCAGAATCCAAAGGAAATTTCAGTTTTTAGACACGATCAATCAGAACATATGTTCAAATGTGTCCTAAAGCGTCTGCAGACTGTTGGTTCACCCATCAGCAGTTACGTCTATCATCTGTAAATCGATGTCTTCTGATATAAACACTGAAGTCGACTCTGTTCAGATCATTCCAACAGGTTTTGTCAATCTAAACGACGACCACATCACTTCATCCTTCACAGATCAGTAAACTTTCCATTCATATCCTCCGGTTTCATCTCTCGCACGTGGACCAGAGTCGCTCCGGCGGCTGGAAGTGTTCAATGAAAAATGAATCCAGTTTCATGCTGGAACACGATCTGCAGAAAAAAACTGAGTAAAGTTCTGCAGCGCTTTAGCTCAGTTCATCGCTGGAAAACACTTTCACCGCCAAGAGTCCGACAGTTCAATCCCTCTTGTAGCAATCCATCCATCTTCGCATCGATCCTTCCATCCTTGAGCCAAACACTGCAGCAGAGCTTCACCTGTAAACCTTCACTTCAGACGTGAAGCTCTGACTTCACCTCTTCTGTTTGTCCCACAAGTAGTGGAAATCGTTCGCTTCTCTCCTTTTATTCCAGTTTTCTTTTCCTCCTCCTACGGCACCGTACATCTCCTTTACCAACTCGTTCTTTTCCCTACTCTCCTTTCACTTCTCTCATCTTCTCCCACCCGACGTCTCTTCTTGTTTTTCTATCTTTTCCTCTTCAACCTTTTTTTTTCACCTTTATGAATCTTTCCCCATCTTTTCTCCACTCTCTCTCTTCTCTCACTTTACCTCATCCCTTCTTTCTCCATCCTCCGTCCTCTATTTTTTCCCCCTTTTAACGGCTCATTTCTTTTAATGTACCTCCCCGTTCCTCTCAGGTTTTCCTTTTCTTCTCCCTCCTTCCTTTCTTCCACCTCTCCTTTTCCTCTCCCTCTCTCTTCTCTCCTGTAGCTCCTCAGTCTGTTCCTGCAGTATCGCAATGCTATTCCTCTCCACCCCTCCTGCCTTCCTCCTCCTCTTCCTCCTCCTCCTCCTCCTCTAACTCCGGGTGAGAGAGCGAGAGAGAGAGAGAGAGAGAGAGAGAGAGGGAGGGATGAAAGGAGGCGGCAGCAGCAGCACAGGAGGGATAGAGGACTGAAACAAGAGGTAGAAATAAACGAGTGAATGAAGAGCGGGTGGATTCCTGCCTCTCGCTGCTGTTGTTGCCGGGAAACACTGGCGAAGCTCCAACCTTCCCTCCCCTCCTTCCCTCCCCTCCATCCGTCCGTTCGTCCGTCTGCCTCCCTCACCTTCCCTCCCTACTTACCCCTCTCCTCCCCCCACCTTGCTCGCCCTCTCCCTGCCTCTCCTCTCTCTCTCTCTCTCT